TCGAGAACCACAAGGCGCCGGCTTGGGTGCAGTCACTTTGGGAGGGGCTGAGGGGCGGTTTCATCAAGACCTTGTCATTCCAAGTGATGGCTTCGAAGTCTTGGCACTCCCCCAATGGATGAGTGCTGAGTGCTACGTTAAACCATCATTAAGCAATCATCACACTCGGGTGCGTGGTGAGTTTTTCCTGAATCTAGAGGTCTAGACTCTACGCGTGTGAGCCAGAAACACCGAGCGATATCGTTCACCCTCTGGGCGACTTGAGGGGTGGGTGGCGACCCGAGCAGTCCCTGAAAACTTGGGCAGGCTTGGGGTTGGATGTTGTGACCAGTCCCTGGGAATCACGTAGAGATGATCAGCCTTGTGCACGAAGAGATGGAGAGCCTTGGGCAAAGCTCCACAAAAGCCTGGTGCGGAGAGGGATGGGTTTCCCCACTAAAATCCAATAGGTGGCAAAAGGTTCGCCTCCATTTTCCAGGGAAACTGGGGGAGAATGTATTGGAGTTGTCAAGGTCACATTGGCCCGTTTTTGTTGATCTCTGTGTTGTCCAACACCATTGTTGATCGTTGAGGCTTCTGGCACAGCAAATCTGGCATCAAACCCAGACTGCACGAACAATTTTCCCCTAACAACAAAAGCAGGCAAAGGGATGTGGAAGCTGTTTGCAGGATGCGGACATCCTCTAGGACTCAGGAGTTCTAAGCAAACTTTGAGATAGTGACAGATCCTGCGACCAAACGCTCCCACCGACCCCAGCACCTCCAGACTCCTCCGTTCTCGCCGTTGACGCCACCGCGTCTGTGGCCCAACCGGGCGCAGGCGTACACGCGCTATGCGAGCTACAAGGAGGGCTTGAGGATCAAGCGCTCGGGTCCCTGTTCGGAGTTCCGGGTGCGCACGACTCACAAGATCAACCTGCTAGATCCCAACATCAACGAGGTGCCACGGCGCCAACGCGCAAGTCGATCGGTCCCATCACGGGAGCTTCGGGGTTGGTCCAGGGCGGCCATCGGATTTCCCTCCCGGAAAGGTTTGATCATTCGAGTCTTAATATGGGTCGTCCGCACCAAGCACACCATTTTTTCACACCTCTCACACCTGAACGACACTTCGACCGCTTCCTTTCTTTGTCACCTCGGTCTCCGCGCCGCGCCGACCTCCGCGCGCCGTCCACCTCGGTCTCCGCCGGGGACGCCGCCGTTCCACGGCGAGGCGTATTTGTTCCACGGGACCTCGCCGGAGTCCGCGCAGCAGATCGCGCGGGGCGGCGGGCTCCGGGTGGACTTGGCGGGCAGCGTGGTGGGGTCGATGTTTGGGAAGGGCATTTATTTGGCGGAGAACGTGCCTTGGAAAAGTGCTTGGGGGTGATGGGATTGCTGGGGTTGCTGGGGTTGAAAGGAGTAGAGTGGAGCTGGTATGCGGTGGGAGGGCTGGATGATTGCGAGGCTGCGAGAGGAAGGGGCAATCGATGATTGTATCTTGATTCATTCATGTGATGAATGACCATATCACACCGCTGGGCATGTTAGGCTTCGGAAGTTCAACACAGTCAATGCAAAGGTCAACTGCAAGCTTGATAGCCAATTGAATCTGCCCTTGCCAGTCCACCCTCATCACTTAGACGCCCAGGCCAGCAAGAGCGACGAGTATGCGAAGGAGGGTTCGGGTGTTTATGTGGGCCTCTGTGCGGTGCTGCTGTGCCGCTGTGCCATGGGCGAGGTGCTCACGGTCTCTGAGGCTGTGGTCCCAGGGAGCGGACGCAAAAGAACGCGATGGCCTCCAACCTGCTAGAGAGGTAAAGACAAGCAACCTGTTACTACTAACTTCTTGTTACTACTAGTAAGGCACCTGTTCCTAGTAGCGTGGCACTTGTTTCTACTAGCTTCTTGTTGGGCGGATGGCAAAGGGGCCACTCCTGACAATTGGACACTTTCTGCACGTGCTGACCAGGCCGGAGATATGCAAGAGACTTTGCGGACGGGAGGCGGGGGCCGGGGGTGTGGTGAGTCTTCTAGGCGGTCGCGCGTGAGTGTTTGACTGCCCAAGCGTTCAAGATGTTCACTAGTGGAGACCGAGTTCAGAGTGTATATGAGAAAAAGGCTGGGTGGTGAACCAATTAGGGTTTTGCATCCTTTCCAAAGGTTGGGACATGTGTGCACTGAAACAAAGCACTCATGCCAGTAAAGCATTCTCCGCGAATGAAGGAACTGACATCCATCTTCTTCCAGCTTCTACTTCCTTCTTTTTGGGACGCCCCACCTGCCATCAATACTCAAGGTCACCGTTACCACTGTCACCACTGTCACCACATAAACACATTCTGAACTGAACCAACTTCCGCAGAAACAACCAGACGACTCCGCCACGACTCCTGAAGGCTCACGAACGGAAAAAGAGAAACCAACAAACCGCTTCCAAACAAGAAGGAGCCGCCTCCCTTCCCTTCCCAAAACCGCCCCTGCCCTGTTCGTTCACCCGCCTGGTGGCGGTCCCCTGGCCCTTCCCGAGGCTATGACGCCTTGTGCGGCGACCGCCTGGCAGCGGTGGGCACCTTTCGGGAGATGGCGCCTCGGCGTCGGTGCGTGCCGAGCGGGGCGGTGAAGGCGGTCCGGGCGAAGAAGGGTGGGGATGCGGAGGACGAGCCAAGAGGGATGATCGGCACCAGTGTATGAGGGCCTAGTGAGGGGCCAGGTGGTGAAAGCATAGAGAAACTGGAACAGGTAGACTAAGATGTTGGTGGCTAAGCACACGTGGTCACTGGGTTTCATCATGAATCATCTTGGAACGAACTTAGGAATTCGGACTGACGCACCATCCGGACCATGCTCAAGGAGAGCATCCAGGGGTTTATGTACAAAGTGCTAGCACACACTGTTTTTAGGCAGTGCAGACCGTTTCCACTCACAAACACAAGCACCAGATGGGTGCCAAAGCTTGCTGAAGCAGCCAGCCAGACGCCGACGCAGTACAGACGCCTAAGGTGTTTTTCAACGAAGAGGCCGTCTATCCGGAGTTTATCGTCATTTACACCCGCTGGGAGCCTCAAGGAATGAGACGCATGAGGACGGACACCCATGTTTGACTGGGACCTACGAAGGCCAACTCCTTTTTGGTCGAGAGTCTCTGGGCTTTCGGGGGATTTTCGGGAGAGAGACCTGGGACCATCGAGGCCCAGTCTGTGCTCCTTCTGTATCTTCAACAGCGATGGATGTTGGTCAGTTGGATGACCTGATGACCTCCCAGAAGTCCCAGCAGTTGGGCCATTGGATCCTGGTGAGATTTGGGGCCATCAATTATCAATCTTCAAACCACTGGAGGAAACGATCAGGCCGGCTGTGGCCTTGTTCGGTTTTTTCCGTGTGTGCTAGACATGCGAACAATTTATGGTGTAGACACAAGTCAGGCAACCCGGGGGGGGGAACCTCTACTCGAATTCCCCCTTTGCTTTTTGTGGCTCGCGCCCTGGCCTCGCCCCTCGTCCCTACCCAGGTTCCTTCGACTGACTCGTCGGGCTCGCCGCGAGAGCCGCTCGCCGTTTCACCGGTGCGTCGGCACCGCCGGTCCTGAGAGAGGGAGGACCTCCCTCACTCGCCAGTGGTGAACGCTGCACCGATTGTTAGCGCCAGTTCTTCACGAGTTGGGTGAGATCGTTGGAAGTGAGGAATCGTTCCGATCATTTTTCACATTTTTCTCGGATGGCAGGTAAGTGAGTCACTGAGTGATGGTGGGTGTTGACTTCGACCATGGTTAGTGATGTGTTTTGAACTCTGACTTTGAATCGTCCCTTCTTGTCATTTTCCGAACCTTCCGAAGAGAGATGGACAAGAGGGAGCTCAGCCTCAGCCGAATGGTGCTGAATGGCAGCCGAATGGCCCAATTATGGTGACGGGATCGGTTGGGGGATGCCATGCTGTGAATCTTGGTTCGGTGCATGAGTATAGTATAGCCTTTGGACTGCTCCGGATTTATCGCTTTTGACAAGTGATTTTGTTTAGACCCACAGTTAGCCTTAAACTTACGCATTTCTACACTTCCAATCATCTCATCTGAATATCCTCTTGATCGTTGTGTGGCTCCTTTCTGAAGGCAAGGGGCCACCCTAGCTTGCTCGGCGCATCTCTTGAAAAGATGGCCGGCAGTGACTCAGTGGCTGGCCGCAACTCCACCGCAAAGCATTCATGTACCTCTCCTACGGCTTCATTACAACTCCGGCACTTTGCGCCAGCTCTTAGCCGAAAGACCGCCTAGCAGTCATTGATCCTGTGCCCATCTGCTTGAGATTCCGTCAGGCTTCGCTCGCCGAAAGACCGCGTCACTGCCTCCAATCTTCGGAGCGGCGCCCGAATTCAGAATTCGATGCCTTCCCCGGACGTGCCCGACCAGGTCGGCGCCCAGAGGAGCCGTGTAGAAGCCGCCAGTGTAGCGGTGTGGAATCACCGAGCCTGTCTCACAAGCGGTGGGTCGTTGACGAGAGGAATCCATGACTTCTTGTGCATCTCTCACAAAAGGAGACCCCAGATTGGGGGCACCGGGGCCCAGGGCCTAGGGGGTGGTACTTGGCACCGGGACCTTTGACGAAAGCCGCACATTGCGGCATTCGTCTCTTTGGTGGGTGTTTTGCTTGTTTCTTTTTTGGGGGAGGGGCAGCAGCTCACAGAGATTTTGAACATTTTTGAACTATCATTGTGACCTCGTTTGCGTTTGTTGTCATTCGCAACATGGCAATCATGCTGGCTTTCGGGAGCAATCAACACCAAATCAACCCCATATAGGCTTCCAAGGATTGATTTGGACCGATGGGGGGCTTCCCATGGAGCAACAGCTTGGCCGTGAAGCAGCAACTTCGCCCTGGGATCATTGCGATGGAATCACAGGTGTTCAAGGGCTACCGTTACTTTTGAAATCAGGAACCACCAGACCAGGCGGAAGTGTCTCGTAGGTGCTGAATTCCGGTCTTCCAGTGCCGTGCATCACCACCAGACCTTCGCCCGTCGCTGAGGCAGACCTTCGGATGCCTTGCCCTGTGGAGTCTCTTCATGATGCCGTTCACCAGGCGGAGGGAGGAAAGAGGGTGTCTTCCCACGGGAAGCATGTTTCTATTCACCGAAGCGCGGGCGGTTTTCGGGGGGTTGCGGGAGATGGAGAGGCAACCTCCTGTTTGTTTTGACGACACCAAGGCCGCTTTTGACTGACACCGGTCCGGTCGCCATCATCCATGGACCATGACCAAGGTTGGCTGAACACCAGTGGTCCACTACCTGTCGAGGGTACCTAGGTTTTTCCGGAAGAAGTCTTGGGTACATTGCATGAGGTTCAAGAAAGAGCGTGGCAAGCTCGGTGGTGTAAGCACGACAAGCTCTCTCCCAAGCACTGGGAACTAGATGTTTATGTGTTGAGGTTGAAGATGTTTGCCATCAGGGAGGTTTTGTTTCTTTCTCCCTTGACAGGCCTTCATAAACCAAAGGACGTTCAGATTTCTGTCGGACTTGCAGAGCTGCACCTGGAGCTTCTGGCCGTGCAAACCATGCTGAGAAGTAGGCCCTAGGCCACCTTTGGCATACTGTCTGTAGCTGACCCTGCAGTGAGCACCAGCCGCTGTAGGCCCCAAGAAGTATTGCGACCAGGGCCCCAGGGCCCTAGGCCCGCCAATCCTACAACCCAGATCAATGCAGTGATGGTGATGGAACCTCACCACCGCCAGCTGCCAGCCTGTGCCAGCGGTCGGTTCCGCGAGGTACATGCACCTCCGGGCGATGAGAAGGAGCTACTTCTCCACGAACCGCATCGACATGGCCTGGGCCCCAGAAGACAAATGGAGCTTGACCGGGCGGGAGGGCAGGACCCATGTGGAAACACAGTCGAAGAACTGTGTAGCCTACACTGGCCTAGACGCACCAGGAGAACGATCTTTATCGATCTTTCGTTTCTATATATTAGCATTTGGTGCGGTTAGCTGTTAGCTGTTAGCTCATGCTGGTTCGACGAACCACCAAGCGATCATAAGAACTTTCCGAGTGCTCACTTGCGTGGCAAGGGCTTCCTCGCTTGCAGCGAGGGCAGGTGGCTAAACCTTGCCACGAACGGATGGACCCCGGTGAGTGTCTCATGGTCCGGATGCTTTGCACAGTAGGCGGGTAGGCGGCCTAGGTGACAGGATCACCACCGCATACCTTCTGTACCTGAACTGGGCGATCCTCCCGCTCAGAACCTCGGGTCCCGTGACGTCCTTCGCCGCCTAGACCTTCCGGAACCGGCGGAACCCAGGATCTGTTCGGAGCCTTTGTCGCGCGGCGTGCGTCGCTCAGGATGCGTTGTTCGCCTGGGGCTTTCCGCACTCCCAGGCGCCAGACCGACGGATGCGTCGAGACCGCACCCACCGTGCCCGTGCGACGCTGGTCGCAGGGCTGGGGCTTTGGGGGGGCTTTTGGATCCAAAGCCGCGGCCTTGTTTGGCTCAAAGGCTGAGAGAGCTTAGTTGGACTGTGAAGATCGCGGTCTGCTATCGCAAGTTGAAAAGTGGCCAAGGATGATGGAAGATGCAAAAGAATGCAAAAGATGGAATCCAAGAAGGGAACCCACAAAGTACCAAGAGGGCCAAACGTGCATCTACCGATTTGTCCAGCAAACGCATGCGCCAAGGGATGTACCAAGACACCTCATGAGTCCAGGACCGATGAAAGCGAGCATTGTAAGGGATACGTCCACCGGTCCAAGAAGCTGCCTTGCAGAGGGAAACTGAGGAAGAACAACTTACTTATGAGTTATGACGGCATAGGTTCCAAACATGCCCAAGCCCGAGGCCTGTAGGCCCTAGGCCACGACAAAGACCACCCGGGTGAACAATCGGGTGGACTATCATGATCATGTACATCACTGACACTTCACTATACCACTATACCACTTACCAAGCGAGAGCTGTTTGGCCTTGTCCGTGCCCTCCGATGGCCCAGCGCGACGTGCTGTGGGAGGCGCTCCCCCGCGCCCACGGCGCTCACCGCGACGGCGAGGGCGGTACTGAGCGCCCCGGGGCGCGGCGGCTGTCGAGCGTGGCGTCCGAGCCGGTGCTGGCGATGGCCAAGGTGGAGGCGTGCCGCGACCGGGGGGAGGTGAGGATCGAGAGGATGAACGAAGCGGGTGAAGCACGAAGGAGGGTGTGATGCTAAGGATGAGCTTCGGCTTCTCGGCTTCTCTTTCATGGTCTTTGTTCGCGGCTTCGTGCTCGCCTCATTCGCATCACGACTAACCCATGATTCCAGTCACAGGGTTCCATCCTTTTCCACGTGGTCGACTGCATGAACTGGAGCATGCTCCATGTATTTGAGAAGGACTTCTATATAAAACAATCTAACTATTCTGGAGGGATCGGAATGGAGTGGCGCACTTTCGTTGCTTTGCCTGGTTTCTCGTTCCCGTCGCCAGGAGGTGCCCGTCGCGCGGGCTTCAGGCGCCAGTCGCGCGGGCCGCAGTTCGCCGGTGCCCTCCTCGGTGGCGGAGGTCTGGCATGGCTTGAGGGCTCTGCAGGCGCAGCAGCAGCAGCAGGTGGAATTCCTGGAGCCTTCGGCTGAAAGGGGGTGCGGAGTGTTATTTGAAGAAGACTTTCATGTTGCACCGGGGCAAGGGGTTTGCAAAGTGATCAACTTACATGTACAGGTGATCAACTCCTTCTTGGGAACAACTGCCAAGATTAGGGTCATCAACCAACGCCACCCCATCAAGTGCTGATGTCTGGGTTTTTAGGATGTTTTTGTGGTTGGTGGATGAGGCTGGGCCAGGCTAGGGGCCCGGGGTGCTCTCTTCTTGGACTTCCTCCCACCTCCCAACGGAGCCGCCGCGGCACCCGCGGAAAGACCGGGGCGCGGCGCGCACTGCGACCGATGAGGAGCGCTTGCAGCGCGACGCTCAAGACGGGCAGGTGCAACTGATGCAGGTCTTCGGGCGTGTTGAGGTGCTGGAGCGGACCTCGCAAGAACCTCGATGTGGGGCAAAATGGAAGGGGCGCGCAAGAAGTTCCACGAAGGGATGCCGCAATTCAATGATTCACTCACTAAGGTGAAACCGTTTGGTGAGGATTTCTGTGTGATTTTTATTTTTCAGGATCGAAGGAGGGGGGTTTTACAGTACGAGCACAGAATGTCACTCGACTCTACACTTGTTGGGAATTAATTTGGTGCTCCAACATCAATCTCTCACTGGCCCCGGTGACTAGATGGAGGGAGGAGGGTATATAACATTTGATGCGTGTGTTGATCCATGTTTATCCAGGAATCCAGGACCTATTCTCTAAACTACCACCATCCACCGGGCCGAATCGTTCCCTGTGGCCTCATAGGTGCGTTAATGTGTTCTTTCATGTTCTTTCTTTTTTTCCGCAGGATTGCCTCAGCGTATGATCCGCGGCTCGTGCGTATGATCGGCTCACGTATGATCCGGTTTTGTGCCGAGGAGTTGCCCTGGGCGGTGCAACTGTTGCAGTTGAAGCTGCATGAGATGCAAGGCGGTGTCGCAGACGTCTATGGCCAGATGTGTGGGGAGACGAGGAGCAGTTTGGCCAGTCAAGGCCGCCCCCCGGCCGTTCGGAGCGTTTAGGGGAGTTGAGGTTTGTGCAGTTGAGCAGATACCAGGTGGCCAGCTGGTGGGTCAGGGTCAGGCATAATGTGTTTGTGTTTAGGCAACGAGTTCATGTGGATGGGTCCAAGCCTCGCGGGAGGTTTGCTTCACGGCGACTCTATTTGGAACATCGGACATCGGCTTTTGATGGTCCATGTATTGGACCAGCACGGTAGGCTGCTTGTAAGGCATTTTTAGAACATCAAATTCAGATCACAAAAAGGATCTGCACAGAACATGAAGACGGGCAGTAGGTCACCCAACGCCTTCTGGTTTTGACCCCAAAGCATCCCAAAGCCATAGAATCATCAACTCAAAATTTGTTCGCCCTATGCTATAAGCATCGTACTTCGCCTTCTTTTCCTCCTCTCCCGCACCGTTTGGGAAGACCAACACTTGGCACGGGTGCCTCGATGCCTCGCTGCAGGCGACCGGCTCACCGAGATCCATTTGACCTTGACGCTTGGGCGACCGTCGGGACTTCGCAGGGCGAAACGTGGTGGAAGCGATCGAATAAGACACGCAACCCCCACCAGCTGGTGAAGCAGATTGGGAAGTATAGGAAGGTGGTCCCGAGTCCCAAGTTCCAAGATGCTTTAGGCATTTCGATGGGGCCGAGCTTGTGCCAGCACAATGGGGGAGCAAGTCTGGAGGACAAGTCTTTGGCTGATCACGACGATGAGGTCCTATTTCAGAGGCCCTGAGCACTTCCCCAACCACATATAGTGACGCAGTGTAGCGTCTTCATCTCTCTCCATCAGCCTCTTCAGTAGCTCAGTAGTTCTCCATTTTCGCGAAGAGTCCGAGGCGACAGCATTCGGAGGCGCTGGAGCGCTGCGTGGCGCATCAGAGCCGCGTGGAGGACGCGCTGGCGGGGTTGAAGCTGAACTGCGCGCAGGAGAGCGGAACTGTGGCGCTTCAGAGCTTCAGCTGGAGGGAGCTGTGCTGGGTTTTGGATGTTTTGGGCAGGGAAACCATGGGTGAGCTGAACTGGGTTTTGTGGTGGGTGGAGTTGTCGAAGGAGAGGACTATGGCAAAGTATTGCAAAGTTACGATTTGCACCTACTGACTTTGGAACAATGGGAGCAGTTTCAACTGTCAATGCAAGTGTATGATGGCAGTATATAGCCGGGAAGGAGCCCTGAAGGACTGCTGACTTTTGCCTCCGATTGTTTTGATCAACTTCGGGTCATGGAAAGCCTTCCGTCGCCGCATGCTGTCTCAGAAGAGTTCGTGTTTGTGCGTGGCTTTTCGCCAATGGTGCCAAGATGTGCCAAGCAAAAAGACCGGAGGGAGCTCCAGAGTGGCCTGTGTCGACCGGGGGGGGTCTCTTGCTCGAAAAGAGGAACCACCCTCCCCCCGCGCGCGCCACCGGACGTCACTGACACTGACTTTGCCCGGGAGGAGTTCGCCACTTGGGAGGGGCAGAGCGCCAAGTTCCAAGTCTCCGAGGACTGGGGGAGGGGAGAAACTTGTTTCGTCTCCCGAAGCGCTTTCGTGCTGTTCTCGGTCTCTTGGCTGATGCTTTTTGGGATTGAGTGGCTTGGCTGGCCTATTTGTTGTCTCAAGTAGGCCAAGGAAGGCGAAGGCCTGTGAGAAACTCCATGTTTGTATCCCGTATGCCCCTTCAATGGAGACATTCCTGTGGTTGGCAAGGTTCTCACCAACAACCAAAGGCACCAATGAATAAGAGGTTGATGAGAAGACGCAAGTGCTTTTCAAGTCGCTAGCATTCTTCTCTTGCAATCCACGCCGCCAAGAATGATCAGCTAAGCGTCAGCTCACCCAAAAACTCAACGCAGGAAACATGTAGTTTCACGCTAGTATGTTGACATCTTCGTCTCACTCGTACGTATTTGGCTCAAGAAAAACAGGTGCGACTAGTTGGCGCTTCTAGGTCGTTTTCCTGTAACTACAGGTTATCAGCCGTATCGCCATAAGTGCGGTACGTGCTTGGTACTAGCCCTGGTCTCACCCACCCATAGATAGTGCACTATCTAGAGGCCATGGCTGACGGTGATAGTTCCCGGGGTGACCGCTCACGTTCAGGTTATGTTCCTACTTCGCCTGCGATGTCAAGTTCACCTGCTCCTGAGCTCCCTGTTGTTCCGCTGGAATTGCGTGTGCCAATTGGACCACCGACTTTCAGTGCACAGGGGGGGCCTGTTGCCTAATGTTCAAGCTCCGTCGCCGTTTCAACCTGAGTTTTCTCCTGTGATGAATGTTCAGAACGTTGATGCAAGACAGATTCATCAACAAGCCGTCTTCGTCAATGAGGATAGGTCAGCTCAGGTAGCTCAGATCGCGGAACTGCGACATCAGGCCATTTTGGCCGAGCATGGGCAACAAGTAGCAGAGGATGCAAGGCATTTTAGAGACTTAGTGGGGAACCAAGCCAAAGTAGCTGTCCAGGAGTCTAGGGAACACATTGAGGCTTTAGCCAATCAACGATTGAGTGACATGAACCAAGCCCACCAGAATCAACATCTTCATGAACAACGGGCTTATCTAGATCGCCTTTCGCTCGAACGACACGCCGTCGTTGAGAACGAACGCGCCTCTGCCAAGCAAAGAGAGGATGCACTTCGGTCAGAGTTAGCTGAACAGAGTCGAATAATCAAGGAGTTGAGAGAGAAGTTTGACAACGCCTCGGGGAACCGAGTGCCTGCACCATCAATGCAGCCACTTGGGTCTCAGGCATCCCCAGCTTTGCCTCCGGCGAGTCTCCGTACTCA